AGTGTTGGTCAGGGTTTCTGTGAGGTGGGGAGGGAACTTTTTAGCCCTGAGTAACTTTCTTCTATCCCTTTTGGACGTCTTTAGAGAATTGTTGTGTACCAATCTCCATTTATTGTGTGATTTAGACATTGGCTGTTGACAGTCTCTGATCTTTTCTGCTGCTTCCTGGCATGGTGTGCTGTAATCTTTACAGCTGTTGATGTTTGTGTCTGCAGTGTATTACAGGCTATTTGGAGCAAGTTTTATTCTTCATTTAGCAGATACTGTTGTCAGCAACCATGCAGGCAGGCCTTAATGACTTGCCTAATGAAAACCAGAAAGCAATTTACCTGAACTTGATTTCCTTCCCCTTTCGGATGGGGCTGTGAAATCCAAGCCCTTTTGGCCTGCTTGTGGTAAAGACTACAAAGTTTGCCTCTGTAAAAGTGCCTCTGGCAAAGTTTGCTAGCATAGTGCTATAGGGTTAATTACTGTTTTTATAGCACCTTATCAGCAGACCTTTTGGAGTGCTTTGCTAGCATTAGCCTTCACCTTGTGCTTGTTGCAAAGGGGGCTATGAGCAGCTTTATTAGGGTGTTGCAGAAGTCCGTAGTGTAGCATGATGCTTGCCCTTCTTGTCATGTTGCTCATAAGGATCCTCTGTGTTCACGTGTAGCATACAGAGTCATTTGCATAACTAATACATTACTTTGAAATGGAGGTATTTCAGAATGTAGCATCCAGTATTTATGGAGGAAAAACTTCAGAAGTTCCTTCCTTCTACTCTTGTGTAAAAATCATTTAGGTGAAAATACAACATTGTTCATCTTTTTAAATCTCTAGGCAACTTGCTTTTTATTTTTCTTTTACATACATATACTGTTAAGAATCTGCTATATTTTGTATCATTGTCTAAGAGGAGGAAACTTTCATTTCAATGTCAATTTGTCAATGTGTCTTGCAGAGCTGTGTCTGGAAGGAAATGCTGCTGAAATCCTCCTGGTTATTTTACTTCTCTGTTCTTCTTAGGCCAAAATCAGTTCTGAAATGGAGGAGGGGTGCAAGATGCTGAAGCATGTACGAGGTGAAGATACGTGGATGCTTGCTGATGTGAATGAACGTGTGGAACAACTGGAGAAGGTGATGGAGCTATAAATCACTGGATTGGGGTGTTAGTCTTACAGCATGTTTGTATGAACAGAAGGCTTTGAGGGCTTTAAGACTCTTTATAAACCTCCCAATTTCTGAATTTGTTAGGCTTTGATATTGGTGTTTTTTTAAAGTGGAAATAATCCTTTACTCACAAAGAAAAAAATTTCTGTCCATGAACTCCAGCTTTAATTTCTACCGAATACAGAAGAATGAGTGCCAGACAAGAATAGTACCATGAGAAGAAATCTGGAGGGTCCAAGGCTTCATAGCGCTCTCTTTTGTGGTCATTCACAGGAGAAGTTGTAATGGAGCCTCTGAACAGCATATTCCTTTAGTGTAGCAATCCGTGCAGATATTTCAACAAAGGAACTGTGTATTGATCATGTAGTGATGCCTGAAGGAATAGATTTGGCAAAAATAGAAGTAGTGTAGTAGATATCCTGTGTATAATTATGGTGCCTTAATTCCAATGAAAAAGATAATGAGATGGGAAGACAAATCAATTGTGGATGTGAGGCATGTTCTCCCTGTCCATACCATCCCACCTCAGCCCACCCTTCCCCCCAGTGAAGGAGAGAAAGGGTAGTAAAAGTAAAATGTAACTGTGTGTGTTTTGCCTTTTTTTAAGTGCAGTTTGGTGAGTGGGTTGTGATTAAAATTTTCTTGCATGTGGGTGATTTTGTTTACTGGATCTCATTTACAAACATTTACTTGTAGGAACATTCTGTGCAGAAAAAAAAGAAAAAGGATAAGCATTCAAAAAAAGCTAAGAAAGAAAAGAAGAAAAGTAAGAAACAAAAATCTGAAAAGAAGGATGACTTACCTGATAGTTCTTCAGTACGTAAGAAATTTTAAAATACTTCAAATTGCGTTCTTAAAACTTGAACCATTTTAGTCTCTGTGGGTACACATGGTTAGTAAAATTAAGACTCATTCTTACCATTTTCTGTTGGGAAAAACTGTGGCAAGATTTGTCAATATCCTGAGTATTTAATCAATTTAAAATATGCTATTATGTGAGTGCTATAAGGGATTTATAGTTTTTCAGGAGAGAGAAACTGAAAAAAATCCTCATTCTGGGATAGAAGAAATTCATAGGTTCCATGCAGTCCCTGGGATGTGGTATAATGATGTGTCTAAAATTGCAAATGCTTGAGTTTGATTTTAAGCATGAGTTACTGCTGCCTTTCTCCATGAGCGTTCAGCCATGGACACTGCCAACAACATGGGAGTTGTACATAGGTCTGAAGGACTTGTGCATTTGAATCTGTAAGCAGATGCCTTCACATTGAGGGGCTCTCTGGCTAAACAGTGCAGAGGCTGCTTTAGAAATCTGGGTGCTGCTTTCTGGGCGCGTCGTGCCTGGATTTTGGTGCAAGTCAGGTGGCACTGTGTTTTTAATTTTCAGAGTCTCTCTTACTGTGTGAAGGAATGAGTATGATGAGATTTATTTTCAGGGACTGATACCAGAGATGAACTGTGATGTAGTGTGGGAAGTAACCCAAGGCACTCCATTTCCCATGGGAGTCACCAAAACCCTTCAGATTACAGCAGTGATTCCTACAACACAGTCCTGGCTGTAACTTTAATCTAAAGTCTGTAATTCCTGTGATAGGTTCGTGTGAAAAAAGCAAGGAAACTGTTCAATGGGGTCCTGTTTGCTTCAAGTGTAAAATCTCAGTACACTGTTTGCAAGCACAAGTGTGGGAAGCGAGATATGAAAATAGGAGAAGATAGCATGTACAGTGCTTTACATTGTGCTGTGTAACTGAGTTTACTTTTTTAATGTGAAGCAGTAATGAATTTAGATTGCTTTTTAATTTTATTTTTGTTATGTCATAAACCATTTGGTTTTGGTTTTATTCTGACAGTTTTAACAACAGTGTTACGCAATAAACTGCCAGTATGAACTCCTGTTGCATACTGTGATGTGCTCATGAAGTGTGGTGGAATGTTCTGATCATGAAGGAGGAGTCTTCTATGGGAATATCAATATTCTGGTTTTGTTATCAGTGTTTTTAAATATTAAACAGTATTATATTAGTAATGCTAGTTAGGAATAAGTTTGATTATCAGTATACTTGGCAAGTATTGCATTTTATCAACATACAGTATTATTTTATGTTAAGGTGTTGTTATTATTCTTTACATTGAACTCTTTTTAGGATTCTTCAGTTGAATGGGTTGAGTCAAATGTGTCACAGTCAGATGACACAGAAAAGGCTTGGAAAGTCAGCAAGCAACCAGATGCTGTGAAAGAACCCTCTCTGCAGGTGAGCAGGCTGATAACTACTCCAGAGATAATTCAGTACTACCAGCTGTGAAACATGCTTAGGTTTCTTGACAGTTTTGCAGTGTGTTGAACTAAACCTGTTTTACAGAACGATGTCTTTGTTTAGCTGGGTAAATGCTACATTGCATTCATTGGAAGACTTCTCTACCTAGTAGTTACTTACTGTTTAGCAAGGCACTACACTTAATATTGCCCAGCACCAATTCCTTTCATCATGTTTTGAGGCTCTAAGAACTTAGCTTGATTTTCTTGAAGAAGTCAACTTGAAGATCGTGACTAGGTGTTATTTTTCCTTCATAATTTTGGTGTCTGTTCTACAATTGAATGAAGATTTGCTTCTATGGTCCTTAAACAGTGTCCTGGGTTGCAGTGTGTGTGGGGGTATCCAATGGTATGTATTCTATCATCATCTCCTGTTAAAGCAGGTGGGGCAGTGATCATTATCACCTTGTCCCTCCCTCAGGGCAATCCTGATGGCTCCCTCAGGGGCTGTCTCTGATTTACGGGCTGTCGGGGACCCATGCATGGCACATCCTCCCAGTGGTCCTTATCCCTTGTCCCATGGTGAGGTGACTCACCCCAGGGGTGGGGAGCCAAACATGCTCACAGGGATATGAGCTGGGGTTTGGACCAGCACAGAGCCCTTTGCCTGCTGGATTCCCAGAGGACAGGAGCTGCTGCTGGACCTTCAGGAGAGAACCGGATCTGCGGGATCACTGCTCCAACAAACCCATCACTCCAGGAGGACTGCAGCACCATTCAATTGGACTACTACAACACCCTGACTGACAGTGTCAGGTTACTTTCTGACTCTGTCAGGTTATTTTCTGACTCTGTCAGGTTACTTTTTTTTTGTACTGTTGCATTTGTGTTGTTTTGTTGTGTTGTTCATATTAAATTGTACTTCTGACTCAGACTCTCTCACCGGTTTGCTTTTCAAACCAGCACAAACAGATATAAGGAAGAGAGGTGTTGAACTTGTCAGCAATAGTCTTTATGGAGCCCATGCCTCTTCTGGTCTTTCTAGGTGGAATTTGTGCTCAGTAAGCAGTGTCTTTTCTCAAAAGTGGAGCAATACTGAAATGAGCTTCTGTGATTTTAGTGACAAATGTAGTCACATGCCACAACATCCTTAGTTGTGTGAAAATTATTTTATATTTAGTGTCTGATTTCGCTAAAAGAAGTCCCTGTTTCTTGTTCTGAATTTGTGAATCTTGTTCAGAGAAATAGAAAGGATCTCTGAAACATATCTATCTTCGTGGAAAAGTATGAAGTAATGCAGTATGTATGTCTTGATAATTTATACTGCAAAACCACGTTTTTCCAAGCATTTTATTTGGTATTTTCTTGGCTTTTCTGGTTTTGGATGAAGATTGTTCTTTTGACAGGAATTTTGTGGTCATCCTTACTTTTGTGTTTTTGGCTCACATTATGAACATGTAAATCCATCTCCTGTTGGATTAAACTAAATTAGAGGATGTGTTCTCAAGGTGCACCTAAGGTGCTCCATGAGACCAGTCTTGGACTAGTCCAGACTGCTTACTTAAAAAGACAGAAACAAAATTAAATATCAGCAAACTACAGATTTAAAGCCTTTGCAGAAGGCAGAGGCAGGTTTTTTTTACTGGTGCTCATGCTGGGTTTGGATCAGATGATCTCCAGAAGTCCCATGCACATCTGTGTTTGTTGATCCATGTTCCTTGCTAGTGTGGGCAGAGATACTATTGAATCAGTTGAAGAGATTATTTTTCAGTTCCTCCTCTTTGTTAGAGGAGATCTGAGAAGTGGAATGCTGTGTTTCACCTCTGAAACTCTCTGGTGTGTTGCCAAATATAATTTCTGAACAACATGACATACAGCATTTGTTCAGATTGACAGCTCAGACTTGAACCCTATTGAAGACAGGATGACTGTTCTGCAAGGACATGTTTTAAAAGAGATGTAATCTTGTCATTTTGGTTGCTATACTAGAATCATAGAATTGCTCCAAATACTTGTTTTTGTAGAGCAATTGCTTATAATGTGTATGTCTCTGCTTTCTTTTGAGGCTTCAGGTTTTATGTATATAAAGGCAGTAGGTATATCTAGGCTTTTTATATGCTGCTTTTCTTTAGAGTAGTCCTCATTTTTAAATATCCTTGGTCTGTCTTACGTTTTGTAAATGCAGTTTTCTACCTGATATTCTGGGTACAGTTCCCAGATTTTAGATGTATAATTGCTGAATTTGAGAGTACAGTTAGTGCCAGGATATCTGAGCTATGAACTGTGCTCAGTTGCTGATGGTAGATTTTGTATACACTAAAAGAGATGTCAGAGGTCATGAGATGTACAGTATTTGTTCAACCAAATAATTAGCAGTCTGTACGGTCTTAAATACATTGTGAAGATGTATTTCAAATTACAGAGAGATATTAATGAATTTTATTTGTGTATTAAAAATTGAAAGGTTTGGGTTCTGGAAACCATATTTGCTTTTCATTTCAGTATTTCATATGTGTTTGTAAAGCGTATACTGTTTATTGTCAGTGACATCTGTCAGCAGTTGCACTGGTTTAGTTTGAACATAAACCATGGTTTTGTTGAGATTACAAACACTAATTCTTTGTGTTTATTTTAAAGAGAGAAGACTGGATGAATTTAGACTTCATGTCATTGAAAACCACATCAGTGGCAGCTGTCAAAGGTGAAAGACACAAAGAAAAAGTATTGGAACGACAGAAAGCTCAGGAACTTGAGCAGGTAGGAGGAATTAATATATCAATTATTTTTCTGCATTTTACTAAATTTTGTTTGATGGTTGAACCAATGAATTGGTTAAAATATGTAAGTCTTCCTTGCTATTAAAACAAATGTGTGATGCAGTTTTTACGCCTTCCATGTCTCGGTGGATCAGGGCCTGGCTGGGGCAGGGGTTGCTGTCATCAGGTTAATTCTGTCCACATACATTTTCTGACTGGTTCATTTGTTCATTCACCTTAAATGCAAAGTAGTCTGATCTGAAAACATGTCGCTGATCACTATCTAGTATTTACTTGTCTTCACCTCTCACAGTGGGCCCTTTGTTGCTGTTAGGTTTTCCAGTTAGTTACATTGTGTCTGGGAACCAGGCTGACCTGGAATGCTCTTCCTGTGGAGTATATGGTGCTTTGGCTATTGTCTTTTGAGAAGGGATTAATCTTCCTGGTTTTTTTCTCTACATAATTTTTTTACTGAACATTATTTCTGTGCTATTGAAGGACCATTTAATGTAGAGATCTTAAATCACCAGAATGTCAGCATGTATTATATGGTTAATGACAATTCATATGTATTCTTAATCCTATAAGTGTGTTATTTTTATAGACTCTCTCACCCAACCACTTCCTGTCCATGCAAGTTTAGATTCTTACATTTTCTACAGCAGAGTGTCTGTTCTTTCATTGGTGCCCAAAACAATGTGTACCACAGATGCATGCAGCATGCCAGTGCTCACACAATTTATCAGATATTCTAGAAAATACAAACCATATACTATACACACATTCAAATTATTTCTGTTTCAGGCTGTGCTGTCTGAGAGAGAACTCAATCCCTACTGGAAAGATGGTGGTACAGGTTTGCCACCAGAGAAGGATGAAGAAGCTTCAGTTAGGAAAGGTAAACAGCAACTTTTAGTACTAATCTTAAATTTGTGTCTCCAGTTTCTGGTCTTTATGTTGCTAAGAACTTACTGCTAATGTTGTTGTAAAGGGATTATGAATAATATGTGTATTATGAATAATACATGGTAATAAAGTAGAATATGGATGAAAATTCAGTAGCAAATATTGGGTTAATATCATATTATGTTGTTTTGCAGAATTTCCCTTCACTGGTTTTTAATCTTGAATGGTTTGACCTTCAATATCTTTACAGAAATTCTCCATTTTGAACTAATTAAAGGAAAGCATGATTTAACCAAGACAAGATAAATTGTTGTCAACTCATTTGGTTCCTTTCATTCCATTACACAAATTATAGTTTTAAAATATTCACCCACGAAGTCTGAGTCACATTAAAATGAAGTACATTACAGATGCACTTTGTGAAAAATATTATTTCTGTAACCTTTTCACTTCTTTCCTTACCCCAGGGTTATCCTGTCCATTTCCAGCAAGTCCAGTTAGTAAAACGTTTTTCATAATGTCATGAAGCTTTTATTATGTGATGATAAGAAGGGTCTTTGTATTCTGTCAACAGGGAAGAATAGGGTCCCTGGCTTTTTGAGAGCCTTTCCTTGTCTGTCCTGCAAACCATTAGCCTCATGCCCACTTTTAGGAGTCACAGAGATCAGCAATCTAAGAGGTGACAGACATCAGTGAGTGTGTGTTCAGAATGTTAAGACATTTGCTAGCTCCTCAAATGGGAAGCAATGAGTTATTTATTCATCTTCTGAGAAGGGGAATTCACTTGTTTGTGTGTAAGGGGTGTGCCAAAGAATGGACACAGAAAGTGGAGACAGTGGGAAGGTTCTTTCATGTCATAAAAAACTCTCACAACTTCTCCTATGTCACTCCTGTCTTGGAAACTGCTTGTTGTGTTCTGTGATAAAATAGAGAAGCTTAAATTAAATCAGTGGTATTGCTGAGGTATAACCAGCACTAACTTGTGAGAAGATGTAATTGTGTTATTATTTTAATTCTGTTTTTCTTTTGCACTCCTTCATTTTTTACAGTAAGTTTACGTGAAGGTTTAATGTCAACTACAGAGTAAGGTTAAATTGGAGCAATTCCTTGAGATACGAATCTCCAGCCTCTCATTGTTTTCTACTTTGGTTACAGTGGTAGAAGATGCTGGATTAGGTTGGCTACGAAAATCATACCAAAGGATGAAGGAGCAGGCTGAGAGAGAGAAACGAAGTTTTGAGGAAATTGTAGCTGAGAGATATGGGGTAAGGATCTTTAATTACATTTTCTACATACCAATAGATGCTTGGAAAAGATTGCTTTCAGATAAAGGCACAAATTCTTCATGCATAGTGACATGCATAGGACATAAGGAAAGAAGCAGGCAAAAACAGCCTCTGAAGCTTCACTCAAGTGATGAAGAGTGTAAAACTGCCCAGCCTTCATATGTTTTTTAATTAAATGTTTTTAATATATGTGATCCTGTAGCAAATTCAAAATACTTACACAATACTCCATGATCTTAAAAGCAGTATGACTTTTTTATTCTTTTTTACAGTCAGTGGAGCTATTTCAGTCACGATTAGAAGAAGCTGAAAAAGCTGCATCCAGAAAGGAAAGTGATCATAGAAGTGGAAGATGGAGGAAAACTGACTATTCACAAAGTGAGAAAGAGAAAAAAGAACGGCATGTTGAAAAGGCGACACGAGATGAAGATGATAGAAACAGGAACATGTCTTGGGACTATACTAAGGAGAGGTATGGCAAGAGATGGGCACAGGAAGACAAAGGTTACAAAAGAGATATGTCAAGAGGAGACCAAGGATGTGGACCCAGTAGCATGGACTCAGAATTAAGAGGCTGCAGCTCCAAAGTGGAAAAATACTCCAGTGAAAAACGGAATCAGGAAAAGAGTTCCTCTCTAAGCAACATAAAACACAAATTTCTGAAACCCTCTGAAGATGATTTATCATCTTACAGTGCACCTAGGGACTACAAGTCACAGCAATCCTCTTCCAAACTGCCAGTTCATAGCTCTTTGAGCAGCCGTTTCCAGAAACCTGGTGAGGGTACTGCACTGGGGACCAAAACACACACAGAAGATAATAATGCGAAACTAATGTCTGATCAAAAATCATCAGGTACTAGGGAACAAATTGATGGCAGTAGTTGGGAAAGAACTCCAAGTGAGGAAAAAGAGAAGTCACGACAGGAGTATCCAAACAGTATCCCTGAGAAGAAACAGACATCATCTGACAGTAAAACAGCATGTTCTAGGTATTTTATGAACATACTTGCTTGTCTTATTTCCTGTATTTTTCATGGCAAAGTTTACCAGAAACTCTGTCTCCTTTGTTACAGTATTAGAACTGGTCATATCAGCCCTCTTTACTTCAGGGGAGACTAGCCTCCAGCTAAGGGCGGCCGCATTGGACCACTGTAGAAGTACTGAACACCCCCTACTTGTCCTGTTTCCTCAGCATGTTTTGAGAATCGCTAATGATAGATTATTTTCTGCTTCTTTTTTATGTTAGTTCACACTGCAGTAAAATTGGCCCCTTAGGCAAAAAAACCTGCAACACAATATCTTAACTGTGATTGAATTTATAAAAGACAAACTTGAAATGTTAGAAGATGCTGACTAAGAGCTGAAATAATTAATACAGCAGGGATAGGTTTGCCACCTGTGAGATGATCTCATGTGCTAAAGTAGTAGCACATGAGAAAGGGTAGAAGGTATTGATTAGAAAAGTGCATTTTCTGTGCAAAAGAGGAAGGATTATTAGGCATGGGAAGGGAAACACAAAATTACAAGGTCTTGCAACATTAAACTTGTGATGTATGAGACATTGTTAGACATGCAAATTTGTTTTCCTAGATATTGCTCAAGTAGTTATTGCCCTTAAGTGCCTGAGATTTACCAGTTAAATGCTCTTTGCAAACTTCTGATTAGAATGATTCATGGTGTACCTGAACTGAAGCCTGTAAGACTTCCTCACCTTTTGAGTTCTGTTTTGTCGATGATTTTGTTCAGGTACAAGACCTGCACAATCCACCATTGTTTCCCACCTGCCCTAGGGAGTGGGGATGTGGGGTTGGGGCGAAGGTGTGGAGCTGGTTGTAGCTTTGTGTGTGTGGTGTGTTGACCCCAGCAAGTGGCTAAGCATGTACCCAGCTGCTTGCTTATTCTCCCTCCTGCAGAGGGAATCACAAGAGCAAAAGGGAGAACTCATGTATTGGATAAAGGCAGTTTAACAAGTGAAGGAAAGGGACAACAGCACGTGATGCAAAGGCAGTCAGTCACTCACCACCTGAGTCAGCAGACTCATCCCCAACCAGACTTTGTGTAGCAGCAACTTTGGAAGTCTGCAGTCCCTAGCTTTTTTTGCTGAGCATGGCATTATGTGCCATGCAGTAGCCCTTTGGCCAGTTCCTGTCAACTCTCATGGCTGTGGCCCCTCCCAAGCCTCTCTTCACCCCAGCCTACTTGCTGGGGGTGCACAGTGGCAACCAGAGAAAACCTTGAGTTGTATAAGCACTGTTCAGCAACAGCCAAAACACTGGTGTGTTTCCAGCAGCAGTTTAGTCTAAAGCAGAGCACCATGTGGGCTGTTGGTCATCAATGTGTGGTTTTGGGTTGCTCAAAGAATCACCATCAAAGATATTGCCAAAACCGATTTTAATATAAATTTATAAGAATGTGACTTAACAAAGTTTGATGATAAGGTTTACTGTATTATTTACTACATGAATGAAACAGACAAAAGAAAATTGAGTTACAATTGATTTAGAATTATTTCCACAGAGAC